CATTCACGATAGCAATTATGACGATACTGAATACGATATTGGTTATGGCTTTGGAGTTGAAATGATATTGATGATGATGACTATTGCGAAAAAATTTTTAAACGTCATAGAGATCAATCCTTTTTGGCATGTTTTATATAGAGAATCCTTCTTAAGCAGATCGTCGACTACATCTACTGTTTAGCTGCTTCAGTGAGTAGCCAACTCAGCAAGGATGCACTTTAAAGCGGTTACTGACTGGCTGATAACGTGTCAGTGCTTCAAGAAAATATAGGATGCCGTAAGGATGTTTATATAGGATGCAATGCGTTCTTCAAAAATCTATCCTCATGTTCAAGTCACGGATAACGACTGTAAGAAAGAGTGGAAATGAGCTCGCCATAGCCGCCTGGATAGTAGCTATTTAGGGTAGTCACGATAATTGATTGACAGACAAAACTATTCAGTAGTCATTATCTATTTAGCATAAAATGGTTTAAAAGAAGGATACACTTCCATACACCATGTACCTTACCATAGCATAAAATAAAAGATAATGAGTACCTACCACCTGAAGAAAACGCAATAACTTCTTAACCGTAGGCATGCCACTGTTGTCTACAGCTGCAGGATTTACCTCACTTTATATACTGTTTTTTGAGGAAGGTTATGGTTAGGAGCTGATTACCATTTCAATGGCATCAGCCAGGAATGCATTGCTGTTCTGAAGGCAAGATTTATAGCGAGACGGCCACTAACACGTACGGTCTCCAACCTGCTTACCATAGGCTGGCATCAGTTACGGACTTAAAAAGGACGGCGAGCGAACTTCTGTGACTCGGATTAAAATCGACGGTTCTTCGACCGCCCTACTGAGCTACCCCGGCCTATCCAAAAGAACGGACGACAAACGCATCAAACCACCTACCATCTGGACAAAGGAGGATAATACTGCAAGCTGGATTGCGATAACTACTCTCATAGTCAAATATGAAAAAATGTACTACCGTTCATGCACTCACATACGCTGTTTCAAAGCTTTACTTCGATGCAGTTATCTTAAATCAAGCCCAACGTGTGATCTGCTTATGTGGGTACATGAATAGTACATATTTTCATATTTGTGCATCATAATGTTTATACATGATGAGCGGATCTCTGTGACCAATGATTCTTCGACCGATAGATATGAATACTACAGCATTATTTACTATGTTTGCACATGATAGTGGTTGTCATAAACTAAAGCGGTCATCAGAAGGATTTTTGTTTTGACCTCGCTGCTCATTTATTCTTAGGCTTAGAAAATAATCAATAAAATAAAACAACTTATGAAGAATCATGTTAAACAAAACTGAAAACCTTGATAAAAGCAACAAATTCGAGCATAAAATACCAAATCGACAATGCCAAGCAATACATGATCGCAAATTCGTGCTATTAAGAGGTTAATGCACAAAAATCATGCGAGGAAGTGGTCGATTCGATAATTAATTACAACAACAAACATTTAAACTACCTTTTGCTGGCGAGCGAAGCAATGATAATAGCTTGAAATGTAAGTCATAACAGCTTTTTCAGACGGAATATCACAGTGAGCCATATCTGTGAAGAACAAACGATGCCAAATTATCGCTGTTATTAATATTAGAATAGAAATCGAACACATTTACGGTTAGTTAACAATTTTACAACGACCACAACACTCCGATAAACCGAAGTCCACCTACCTGAGAAACTTAAGACTAGAGAAGAGGCAGGAAAAAATCAAACCATGCATATATTTAGTATACATCAACAGCCTACGCATCACTTTACGACATCTACAGCTGTGGCAACGCCATCGCTTTCAGGACCAATCAGGAACGCGCTTATAAGAACATGAAGCATCTGACTGAGAGAGCAAGGAAAATAGAAACAGGCAGGAGCGAAACATACAAGGTCATTTATGATGCTAGAACAGACGTACGGTCTCAGATGTTAGGATACGTTTTTGGCCAAAGGACAGAAAAAGTATTACAACCAGTCATTAACATCCACCCGCTTAAGCGTGACGATGAGGTCTAGAAGTTTCACCTCAGAATGATCTGCCTTCATCATGTTCCGTGAGTCAAATCGCTAGGTCAGATGTATGCTTGTGTAACCATCATCTTCGGCAGTGTGTACTAAGCAGAACATCTCTAATTTGTAACGTCTGTTCTATTCACAGCTTTACAACTCTATTGCCATAAGGTACCGGTTGCTACATCGTAAATGGAACAACAACATCACCAAAGGCAGTTCTAACTCTTCCTTGCTCATCCTGTTTGTATACTGGCCTTTAGGCCAACGCTCGACGCATATCAGATCCAACATGAAATGATCACAGGCTTAAGTAAATGGCTCATCCTCAGTCAGCTTGTCTAACAGGGCCACCTTAACTGACTGATCTCCACAGAACTGACAATAAACGCATAGCGAAATTCTCTGTATCACGATGCCTATTCTCTGAGGAGGAAACGGATGACAACTAAAGTAAAAATGAACACCAGAAGAGTATCCGTTCCACCGGTGACATCAAGAAACGAAGAAAGCTAACAATATTCACGCAAAGAGCTATTGGTTGCCAGACCTATAAACTCATTTCGTCATCATTTTAGAAAGTCATAAACTACTTAATCGCACCGTGCACGAATGACAGCTTGAAAACAGGGCCCGCTAAGTACGCAGATGTACCCCTAGCGGCGTGACCTTCCTCTATGTCACATTGAAGATGTAGCCAGATTTTATGTTTCACCTAAGGCTGCGGTTGTCAGTGGATTAGCGAAGACAAAGGGAACGAAAATGCACGCACACCACGCATGCAACACGCTGAACAACATGCGGATGCGGTATGAACCTGCTGCGCTCCTCTTAAAGCGTGATAGTAACAGGACACGTATGTTATAACGGCTTTTTCGTCAGGTTTAGCGACGTAAACCATATCTGAAAGAGCCAATCGATTTATTAAAACGAAACATAACGGAAACAGAAAAAAACACATTTTCCAAAAGTCCATTAAATTTACAGCAAGACGAGAAGATTCTTTACTTCTCACTTCGTTTTCACCCACCCCAAACAAGAAAATTTATACACAAAAAATTTCTAATAAATTTAAATCGATGTTTTTGAGCGCAGAGCTAATTTCGATGTTCAAGAACCCTTATTAATCTGTTGTCACGCTTAGGTCATACAATAGTGACCTTTTTCAAGACAAAATGCACAAAATATGCAAAGGACTTTGGCGGGACAACATCTTTCGCACGCACATTCAAAATATTTTATTTTGAACAGGGCTACTGCTGTGTGGCCGAAACGTTAGTAACAAATAAAGATAATTTAACACCAACCTCTGCATTGTTCAACAAATTATCGAGTAGGAGGATTAAAAATATATTATGTGCAATAATTATGTACGATAATGGTTAAAGGACGACATGCCTTTCTAATTACCACCACTTCGCGAGTCGCCCGACGAAAAATTTGAATCAAAATGTTAAATAGTTTATGTTTTAATTAATTCAATCTTAAATTCGATCCTCCTCTTCGCATTTCCCGTTACTGGAGCGAAACGGATTGGAAGGGGTCACTATTTCGCATCTGATCCCGAAGTCGCCCATTACTTTGATCCCTGTTATAGCGCGATCTTAGTTACAGTGTCAGCAACCGTTCCTGTCATTCATCGAGTCTCTACGTTCGTTTTTCTCCCACTCAAGGTTCTTCGATGGTTAAATATTTCCATCCATTTTACTTTTTGTCTTCACCTCAGGTTCAACTTTGTTTTGCTGTAGCCCCAGACGCGGTTTTCACCGGCACTGAATTCATTCTTAAATATTTTTATCTCAGATTCGTTCCTCGCCTTGCTGTCTGACATTCCATTCGCGGGTTCCTATCTCTATATAATTCTCGGTCAGGTTCTTTGTGTCTGTCAGTCTTAGTCTTGAAATCGCTCACCCATCTCGCTTTTCACTTGGTTCTCGATCTTGACTTCACCCTCCAGCGCTGCCCACGCCGTTTCCTCAGACACGGTCTCGATCTTACCTCTGCTTTCACATATTTCTCTTCGTTTGAATCTCATTTTCTGAATCGTTTCAGGTTTCAGATTCTCACTTTCTCTGAATCTTGACTTTTCTGTGGCGCTGTTTTTAATCTTACTCATTGTTTCAATCTCAGCCCTAATCTTTTAGCATCAATTTCAACGCCTTTAATTCTGGCTACACGATTCCAGCGCAGAACCCTCATCAGCCTCTGGTCGTCTTAATCTCAGTCTGACTTTTAGTCTAAGCTTCAATCGTTATCTCATTTTAAACTTCACCATCCCTGTTGATCTCGTTCTCGTCATGATTTTATTAAAAGAGGCTGAAACCGTAACCCAGCATTTTTCGCTGTAGGTTTTCGTCTCATGCATCTACCTCGATTTCGGCCCTACTTTTTACTTCTCCCTTGATCTCTGTCTTTGTTTCATTTTCAACCTCAACCCTGTACTCATGCATTCAGTGTCAGTATTAGCTCCAGTCTCTATTCTTCATGGTCTCAATCTCGGCTACGTAACTCGTGATTTCGTACAGGATTGTCTTGGTACGGTATCAGTCTAGATCTTCATTTCTTAGTTGATTTTTATTCTAGCTTTATCCTGACCTCAGCCTATCCCTTATCTAAGTCATTGTCTTCATTTTAACAATTAATTTATTTAAAATCAGTGTCGCGCTTTTTTCTGCAGTGTCGATCTTGGTCTCAATATAGTTATAATGTTACCTCGGCTGTGTCCAGCTTTTTCATCTCAGTCTAGCTCTTTGAACCTACCTCTCAGCCCTGACATCACTTTCTCCTTGTATTTCGCTGTTCCTCACTCAGCTGCCTATTTTTGCAGCAGACTGGCTGGCGAAAGCCAAAAGTTAACAGATCGTAAGACTTCAGCCTGACCTGAGGTGAAATTACACGAAAGAATCTTCCGTTTCCAACAAACGCTAACAAACAGCCTTACTACTGATTCAAAAACAGCATTATCGTCCAGAAAATTGCGACATACCTTCAGGATCGAGCATCCGAGGTATATCCAGGTGCTTTTCGGCGATATCAAACGCCAAGTTCAAGTTGTACAAGGGGTTGTCCTAAAAATAAGCGCATGCGTGTCTCATAGAAACAAGTTTCCTGGAGCGACGTACGTGTGACAAGCGACTGTAATCCAGAAGCTCTGGTCTGTGGCGGTGGATCAAAGCGCAAAACGCCAATCCGTCCTTCCAGCTAAAATACACATAAGGGATCCTCCACGTTAAGTCGTTCGCAAGCAATCTTTTGATTACGAACGCAGAGCATTAAAAACGTGCTTCAGGACGCCAAAGTATGGGCCCATGAGGCGGAATCAGATCGCAAAGAAATATAACAAAGGGTCCAGATGTTCCGGATTCATTGAATACCTAATTGCCACATTCTGGAATCCAGATTATGGACTCTGTCTGATTTAAGAAAAACCGGAAGACATTAGGCAACCGTTTCCACCACCTGAAAGGAATAGCCAGCCTTAAAAATCAACGATGGATGAAAGGTGCGCACATCGCCTGTTTCGTACTGATCTATTCCTGCCGTTCGCATCAGGCTTCAATAATAAGACATGCTTCCTCAAAGAAAAATCAGATAACAGAAATATACAGATATCTTCCAAGTTGGCTGCTTAATTATAAGTTGAGCAAAGTCATCAACCACATTCCTTGTTTAGAAGAAAGATATTCTAACTACTAAATCCATATGGATATCACGGGCAGTATTCGTCCTTATAATAAGGAGCAAATTCTTAAAGCAGTCATGACATCTACCGACTCCACAGAGAACAGTCTTCGTCTAACGTATTAACGAAGATTTATGTAAAAAATAATAACTGTAACCACACTACTTAGGGAAAATAATGGGATCATGTAACTTTGGAAAGTTTACATCTTTTACTGATCAAACGTCGGCGCATGTATCAGCTTGCATCATCATCAGCCTTTGTCGATTCAGTGTTGAAGATCTTTCCAAGACTTTGCCATGCACTTCTGTTATTTGCCATGTTTATTTATTTGGAATCGCCGAACTTCATTCGTTCACCCTACCGCCGATTTCGAGGCCTTCCTGCGGTGGTTCACTCTATCGTGGAAACTAGTCTAATGTCCGTTCGGTTCAAGGATGGCCTGCTCTTCTTGCAAACGTGTTTTGTGCAATACCACTTTAACTTCGTCACTCTGGCAATAACATCGAAGACTCCTGTTTGTGCTATCCCCATTCATTCGTTTTCCCATCTTTCCTTGTTATTTTCAACGTACATCTTTCCAAGCTGCGTTAGACAATCCTTGGTTTCAGACCGACTAGCTGTTAGACTTAGGACCTCGTATTGCACCAACAGGTTAGCACTGGGAGCACCTTGATCGAATAATGTACGCTTCAAGCACAAGGGAAGTTTTCCGGATAAGAATGTTTTCAATCTTCCAAAAGTGCTCCATGCAACTTTTATTCTTCTACTGAGTTCACGTAGCCGATTCTCTGCTGCAGAATGAACTGTCCCAGATACGAGTAGTTTTGTACTTCTTCAAGCCTAAATCCGTTGACGTCAACAGGTTACGCTGTTACATACGTAGTAAACGTGACTTCAGTCTTCTAAAATTCATTTTCAGTCTAATTTCATGTTGCGTCGTTCAGCTCATGGATTCTTCTCTGAAATTCATAGGTACTTTTGCCGAGCTTGAGAGGACCCGAATATCGCCGGCGAATAACCTAGCTAGGTGCTTAATGCATCTATTTATCCGTCTATTACCAGCCCCTAATTTCCAAAAAGAATGTTTTGAAAACTACTTCTAATGCTACTGCGACGAAATCGGGTAATATGGCGTCTCCTTGCTGGAAGCTGTTTTCGATTCTGAACTTGCTTCTTCTTTCATGAAGCTTCACATCAGCAGCTGGGTGGTTGCAGATCAGGACAATCATGTCCCTGCATGTTTTCTTGATTCCATGAATTATCAAGGAATCCAGCAGAGAAAGGATACACACAAAGTCAAAATCCTTCTCGAAACCGACCAACACCAGGCAGAGAGGAACCTGATATTCGTTGCTTCTCTGAACTACTTGCTGCATCACCTGGAGATGATTCATCGTGCCAAATGCACTTCTGAATCTTGCTTGTTTGTTGGCCGTGCAGCGTCCAGACAGCACGCATTAGTTAACATCTCACGCGGTGTGACATGGTCCCACAAGACCTACATACTGTCACAGTTCATCGACCATTTCTCGGCTGGTCACACCGAAACACGGATGAATTCCTTGTTCAAAGAAATCAGTAGTC